AGATGATTTAGATGTTGGAATTAGCTGGTAAAGATTTGAACTATATAACTATTTTAAAGAAAAAAGAGGAAAAGATGAGTGAAAAGTTGAGACTTTCAAAAGAGAACTAAAATCCATAAAATATTAACTGGACATTCTAGAATTGGAAATACAATATTTGAAATTAATAACTAATGGGATAGGTTAAAGAGAAGAATGAACATAGCAAAAGAAAGAATTGGTAAATCTTAAGATGGATCAACAGAAAATATCTATTAACAAAATGAAGAGAAAAAAGGGGGAAAAGAAAATTAAAGGCACATGGGATAAAAATGATATAATGTACTTATAACTGGAGTATCAGAAAGAGCAAAAAGTGTGGAAGTAATATATAAAGGGATAATGGCTGAAATTTTTTCAAAACTGATAGATTCAACAGGTCAGTAAGCCCCAATAAAATACATAAAATGAAAACCATTCCTAAGGCACATCATAGTCAAATTGCTGAAAAACAGGAGATATAAAAAAAACACACACATTACCTACAAAGAGTAAACAGATTTTCAGCTGACTTCTCAACAGAAAAGATGAAAACCAGCAGACAATGGAATGTCCACTTTAAAAGTACCAAATAAATAAAACTGCCAATCTAGCATTCTGTATTCAATGAAAATACCATTCAAAATGAAGATGCAATATAGACCTTTCGAACACAAGCTACCTGAGTTAACTACTAGCAGACCTGCGTGACAAGTGATTGAATTAAGATCAAAGCACAAGACAGCCAAAAAAAAAAAAAAAAAGGAGAGGAAGAAGAGGAGCCAAGAAAGAGAAAATGTATGGGTAACATAAAATAATACTGACTACTCAGCAATAATACTGTAACATTTATAACCGAAAATATACAACTTATAGCACAAAGGATAGAGGCAGCAAATACAGTTGAATTGTTTTAAATTTCTTGCATTGTTTTGAAGGTGGCAAAAGCATTAATCACAGACTGTAATAAACCAAACACAGCTATTATAATCTATAGAGTAATCACTAAAAAAATAAAAATAAAAAATACAATCAGGTATAATTAAAAAGCTATGAGAAGAGACAGAATAGTAAGAAGTACTTTCCTGAGCCAAAAGAAGGTTTTAAAAAAGGGGGAAATTGGGGAAATTGGCAAAAAAGAAAATAGCAAGACACTAGACTTTAAATCAACTATATCAGTAATTACACTGAAAGTAGTCTAAACACTATTAAAGAACAAAGATTCTCAGATTAAATAAAAGAATAAGACCCAAGTATAAAATGTTTACACAACAAACACTCTAAACATAAGGACACAAATAGGTTGAAAATAAAAGGACAGAAAAAGTTTTATCATGCAAACAGTAGCTAAAACAAAGGTAATATGGCTATATTAACATCAGGCAAAGTAGTCATTAAGTATTCATAAAGATAACAAGCGACAATTTCAATTATAAAAGTAACACTTCATCATGAAGATATAACAATGCTAAACTTTATGCACTGAATAACATAGTTTCAAAGTATATAATTAACTTCTCCCCCAATCATTTCTACTCTCTATCCTGTTTTTCCTTTTTTATTCACTGTATTTTTTCACAATCTGACATTATATATTTAATTATTTTTTGCTTATTTGCCCACCCACAACACAATGTAAGCACCACAAGGGCAGGGACTTAGTCTATTTTGATCACACATTATCCTCCGTAAAATTTTTGAGTGCCTGGCACATAGTAGGCACTCAATAAACGTTTGCTGAAAAAAACTGATGCAATTGCCACCAGCAACTTACACGGCTTACTTTAAAAGCTCACATCACACATTTATTTTCTTCAGTTGTGCAATTCTTTAACTTAAATAGTATTCAGTAAATCTCTGTCAGTCAGGATTATGCATGAGAACAAAAAGCTTGGAAAAAGTTACTGGGAAATGTTTCCTCTCCATGTAATAATGGCTTCAAAATTAAAAATCATCAAAAATGTGTCTTTCTCCATAGTTTTAAATATACACATTGATTTAATAAATAAAATAATACAATCATATTAGCTTTCATGTTTATTCAACTTCACAGAAAATCCAAAATGTGTCTGAAAATCAGTTATCTACCTAAATACCAATTGTTCGTTATGGTGACATAATACTATGTGGCAGCAGAGATGTGCCTAATTTAAACAAATTCTTAAATTGCTGACATTTTTCCAAAAATGGGCAAAAGGAAATTTTAAAAATCAAACTTACAAGTTGTAAGAAGATACAGAAAGTAATTTAGCCTTTAATACCTGGAAGAAGTTTTACAGCCACATTTGTAATTTACATATACAGTGGAGATCACTGAAAAAGCTTCCTGTTGCACTGCAGCAAGAAATTTTATTATAATGTAGATTAAGTGGATTTGCTACGGAGTGCAGCAAGATAACCTCACTGAGGGATCATAAGATTTTCATAATGGAACTTGTTACAGTGAGTTAAATATTTTCTTAATGTTATACACTACATATTTTCAAAATGAACATTATCACTGAAGAGTTTGCTAACAATTGTTAGCAATTAATGTTTTGTACATACTTAATTTTATTGTAGTTAAAGTATGTGGCTCTCCAAATGTTAGTACATGAAATGTTAAGTTTAAACATAAGATAATCCCCTAAGATGGAGACTCAAGACATCAAACTTTGATCATTATTGCACCTATTCTTCTACAGAAAAATGAAAACTTTACATCATAATCCTCCCAAATAATGAAGACAGGTTGCAAAATTACACTCACTGGCATTGAACATAAGCAAATTCTACAATGAACATTTTTTTGTGAACTGATGTACAGCATTAATGTGCAATGAAATTTTGTAACTATGATCATGCAAATAAAAATCCTCCACAATCATTTTTTTGTATGTTTTATAAAATGGTCTTAAAGATATATTTCCATAAACATTTCCGGTGCAATTTCGCCAACAACAAAAATACAAAGCTATCCTTTACTCTTTATGTTATAGATTTTAAAACATGCCTTCGTATTGCTGAAATAAAAATAGTGTGTTTTGGAGAACTGCGCTAATGAAACGTTTAAAAACCAATGTATCTTGATCCAACATCAGCTGTCTTGATATATACCAGCCTCCCATAAATCACTGGTGTCAATATTGTTGTACATGAAGAATAGTTAAATATTGAGAGATTAAGACACAATTCAAAACATTTTTTTAAAAATAAAAGGCCATTCCACAAAGATGAGGAATTTTTAAAAGAAAATAATCACATCAATCGCGATATACATTGGAAAATAGTAAAATGTCATTTTCCAAAATAGTAGCTTCTTTATTATACGCCCCATCATCTATTATAACCAATCTTGGAAATATACCTTAAACATAATGGTGTAGAATATGAAAATGCTCCATTATTCAATGTGATAAACTTACTAAGTTAGAATATGATTTTCTTTTCTGGTATTAACCATGAAAAAAATGAAAGAACAGCACCTGAAATAATAAAATGAATTTAGGAAAGCATTAAGTAGTAACCTATATGTTTTGGTTCAAAATAACAGTTTATACAACTGCATAAAGGATACTACCTTAAGTAATTTGTTTCTATATTCTGCAGATTATATTAAAGAAAAAAAGATCTGCTCTAAATCCAAATAAATTTCCACTTCTCCCAATCTGGACAAAGTGGAACTTCATTTAAAATTAGTAAGACTGTAAAAACCTAAAGGAGCTGATACAGTTGGATATATGACTTCTACCCTGCCCCTCCCCCAAAAACAATTTTTTGGCTCCAAAATAAAGTACAATAATAAACTCTTGATGAAAAACTATGGGGCAATCTATCATATACTATGGCTAAATATGAATTTACAGAAAAGAGCACATCCCATTTTCAGCACTTTTTTTTTCATAAACATGCAACTCACTATAAAATACAAAACACTTGGCTTTCAAGAACAACTTTATAAAGACACACTGCATCAATAAAATTTTTTCTTTCTGATTAACTTTACACTATTATGGAGAACTGGAATTTTTCTAATGTGTATATATCAGATTTTATATTATAGTGTAATAATTTGCATTTTCTGAACATAATGTTCAAGAGGAAATATCTATACACAATAACATTCTAGACTATTAAAAACTCAAATTACAGAATTTTATTGATACAGCAGATTAATAAAAACTGAAAAGGGATGATGAAATTGGATAAAGAATTCAGTACATTATTTTATAACACACTCTTTAAAATTAGAATATTTTAAATCTCTTTCTTCTTAAAATTTTCATTGCCATGACAGGCCAGAAAATTCTGGGACCAATACTGAGGTGTAAAGTAATCAAACAACTTCAGGACTATTTCACAATTTTCATGGTGTCCTCTCATCAGAGGCATTGTTCCGGTGTAATGGCAGACAATTTAGCACCTCTGAAGATTAAGGGTGCCCAGGAGTAAACACTAGGTAAGATACACAAGGGAAAGAGAACATTTAATTCTCCAACAAATAGTGACATCAAGAAAATGACACCAATTGTTGAAAAAAATTTTTTCACAGTAAAATTGCAAAGAATACAAATACAAACACTGACAGATCACTGCTTAAGATCTATTCTAACAAACTCTTTTCAAATCAATAGATCCAATAAACAGTTGGGTACTGTCAGTTTAAAGCCGCAGATAAAAGCTATACAAGCACTTTAGAAGTCAGAAACATTAAAAAAAAGAAAAAAGATATTTACAAGTTTCTTCTTTAGTTTATGTCTACATAGCCATCGCACATTACACCTTCACAAGACTCCATAGTCAATGTTATCATGCGTATGGCTAAAGCATGTGACCACAAAACACCCAGGGTCATCAAAGTAAGGTCCAACTGTCCACTCTTCAGCAGTCCCATTTTGTGCATCAAAGGCTTTATTTATTCAGCCTCAGGCTTGACAAAAAATTAGTTTTTCCAAAGCTTTCAAAAAGTTATTAATTACATTTGTTCATCGCCTTTCCCTTTTAGAACTTCTCCGTCGTACCTTAAAAGAAAAGTCACCAGATGCTTAATTAAAATGGGTATACATTTATATGACATAACAGTAATTATTTTAAACAATCTTTATTCTCACTTGTTCCTGATTTTCTTTGCTTTTCTTTCCCTGAAATCTTTCTTTTATAATAACTTTCTGCCTTGACAGCACGTATTTAGAATGCTAAAATATCTGAATTCTTACATGTCTATAAATAGCCTTTCCCAGAACAGCAAAAGAGAAAATTATTTTACTTCTTTATCAAATAATTTTAAGAGAAATGAACAGAAGTCAATGTACACAGCAAGAAAAACAACTGCAAACAGATTAATCATTTTTCTACTTATGTTTCTGTGGTAAAAGAAAACATTTGACATTTATGAACTTACACTTACAGCGTTTCTGGGAAAGTAGTTACTGAGTTTGGATCTTAACAACTACCAAATACACATAAATAACCTAAAAGTCAAACACTACCATTTATTGGCAATCAGTAATGAAAGCACTGAACTTTAGTTCAAAAAAGGTCAGCATTAACAACAGGAATAGAAAAAGAACAGGGTTTTAATTTAATTAATTTACTGTGTAGTTTTTCTCTGATGAAGACATCAATCACTAAAGACTCTTCAGCCTTATTTTTATATCCCCAAAAAACCCTTTAAGAAACAAGCCAAACTAATTTTAGACCACAATTCAGCACATTTTCCTATGTTTTGACTCACTCATTCACATAAATGAATCCTGGTGCAGATAGTGCTTATTACATTAAATAGGACAGAGTGGCAGAGACCAACTTTGGAAACTGATCATAGCACTCCTGTTTCTTAAATGAAGAGGGATGGCTGAGCTGATCCAAAAATTAGTATGTCAAAATCAGCATTAGTATATCAAGAGAACAACTCTTACTTAAATGTGTTAATTACATTTTTTCCAAAGTGAAATATCTGAGATGTATTAACTCACAAAGCCATTCATTGCTTTAAAAAAAAGTCTCTCAGGAAGCACCACATCCCTACTTTTGCAAAGAAGTATCTATTACCAATTTTATGAATGCTCATTTAGCTTGCACTTCAATTCGAAAGGCTGATTTTAGTTAATATGTGATTTTATTCTGTGTAACTAACTTCTAGTTTCTATTGTGAAACTCAAACAGAAACATCAAACAGAAAGTTATAAAATATAAACAGTAGTACACTTAAAGGATATCAGTGCCCTAACATCAAGGTACAACTTAAATGCTTGAAGTGTTAATATTAGAATGCTACTGTACTTCTCTACGTTCAATATAGACTTGACATTTACACTTTCACTAAGCTACACCTGTTAGTGAAAATTCACTAAGTTTCAGGTTTCCATAAAAGACATTTTCTCCATTCTCCAAGCTGGTAGATGAAACGACATTACAAAACTAATGAAGAAAAATATATAAATACTTAGAACTGTAAGACACAGAAAGTGCTAAATGTATTTATACCAAATATTTATCAACTCTATTTTTATAACCCATACTACATCCATGACTCTTTAACAAACACATACATTTACTGTAGAAACTTCCTCTTCTTCTGTTTCTTCCTGTGGAATATCATCATTGACAGGAGAACTACCCTGAAACACATCTACTTCTTCGCTTGAATCATTTTCCTTAGTAGCTGCTTGTTTGGAGCGTCCTACACGGCTAGAGTAAAGCACATGTAAAATAAAATGAACATTCCAATGTTTAAGTAGACTACCTCATTAGAGAAAATGCTTCAAGTATTTCATGAATTCTCTTATCATTTTTATCCTAAACCATTTCATGAGATAATTATTTTTTTTTATATTTGGAACCCTAAACCAGTGTTTAATCACAGAATCTTACCTACAAAGATCTACCAACTAACAAAAATAAGTGTGACTGAGAGACTGAGACTGTATCATAAAGAATTTCAAAATATAACCCAGTATCCGCTCTTCCTTTCATCCTTCCTAACTCAGTAAAAGGCATCTATGTCCAC